ATATAGATTGAAATCTGGTTGCTCCATGCCCAACCATTTGGTAAGGTAAAGATGGGGGAAAATCCAAGAGTGTAGCAGCAGCTGAGGGGAGACAGGAAAAGTGTTGGAAAGAATATGGGGCAGGTAGGCCAGTAAAATATGGTCTACTGGACAGGTATTCCTTACTGCTGAGATCATCTAGTATATTGGAGACCATGGCTATAGGAGGGAAGAGAAGGAAAGGCATATGCTGGAAACAGTCATGGCAGCAATACTGGGGTAAATGAGAAGAAAAAGCACTGGGCATACTGGCAAGTAGTATATGTGGTGCTGGGATACTGGCTGTAGCTGAGGAGGAGGAGGAAAAGTTCTGGACGATCAGGGCATGGCAGAGAAGGAAGACGGAAGTGCTGGGAAGATCAGGGCCATGTAGGCTAGTAGAAACTGCCATAGTTGGAGGTGCTTAAGGGAGGTGGGGTGATCGCATTGATACACATGGCTCATGTTGTATTTGCCCTGCAACATTACTTGAAGTTTTGCTTTCTTTCTGAAACACAGAACCAAAGTCTTTGGGATTTTGTTTCTGATGAACTGGGATCAACCCAAAATGGTTTGGCAGAACTTTCAGGATGTGGTGGTTTGTTCTGGGTCTGAATCATTATGTCTTTTCGATTCTTTTTCTTTTTAGAACTTTCTAACTCAGAGATCCTGCCAAATCTTAAGTGTTTGAGCTTTTTGAGCTAAGTTTTCCTGAAATACTATATTAATCAATGTACAGGATTTCCTTTCTGAGTACAAGCTAATAGCCTTGCAATAGCTATCAGAACTTTTCATTTCTTTGAGAATGCTTAGTACATGAAAGTGTGGCTAAAAAGGGCAACAAATTTCAAGCATGACAAAGGAAGCAATAGAGAGCACCCTGAGACCAACATACATCTGCTTAACATTAATCTTTAAACCTTTTGAGTCTTTTCACAGCTATAAGAGCAACTGTGAGAAATAAAACACTGAAAAACGTGAAAGTAACACACTTTCCTTGCCCCCTCCTAAAAACACACCATTCCACTCAACAGCTTTCTTTCCATTGTAAACAGTTTTATTCACTCTTTAAAAGAGTCATGCAATCCTAAATACATATTGCATCATTGTCATTGAGGTGCACATAAGTGTATCCAGAGGGCTTCATTCTTCATTGCCCAGAGTCAAATATAACTGCAGTCCTGAGTGAGGTTCCACTTGCTTATCTGCTTCCACTCTTTGCTCATCAACCTATTTCAGATGGGCTCAATTTCTGCATGTGACAATTTCTGTTTTCACAAAAACAAAAACTGGCTAGGAGGGGTGCATGAAATATGGCCTTCGTCCCTGAGAGAAAAAGGCTACAAGAGAAAGCTACATTTTAAAATGGCCTTGCTGGGCCATTTCTTTCCCCGCCATTTGATTACCATTATTACAGTCTTTAGAGAGATGCCTGAACATTAGGACCACACATTTTAAGAGTATTGGTGAGAACAGAATAAAGTATATACATATCGCCTAAGCCAACCCCATAATCCTTGTCAATATTTGTCCTAATCGCAGGCATTGTTTCAGTATATGGATATTTTACAGGCATACTACATAAAAGGTGAAGTAAGCTTGAGAAAATGCACTTTTGCCTAGATTTCTAAATGAAGAATGCGAACAGTTGGACAAAGTCATGCTCATAGGACAGAATAGTTTTATGGGTGTTCACCAGCTGCACCAAACCATGTGAAGACTCCAGATCCACTTAGTCACTTCAAGGGACACTATTCTGAATGCCCCTGAAGCTCATTCAAGCTGAAAATAATTATCCAAGGTTTTATGTTAGTTTGTTGCTGCTGTTGTTGGACTTTCAAAATACTATCAATATTGTTCATAAAATCAAAGAACTAGGAGGGGCCATTTAGTCCATCAAATCCAACCTCCTGCTCAGTGCAGGAATTCTTGACAGACGGCTGTCTGGCATCCATTTTGCACATGCAGTAAAGGGGAGCCACTTCTTCCAAGCTTTTCCTAACGTTCAACTGAACTCTTTTTAAGTTCATAATTACATGTCCTGTATTCTAAAACGATAAAGAACAGAAATTGATCTTCTTCTGGGACATCCTTTCAGGCCTTTGATGATGCTCTTTTCTTCCTAGTTATCTGTCCTCAAGGTCAATCATTCTCTATTCCTCTTTTCACAGGTCTTCATTTCCAGCTTCCTGGTCATTCTCATTGCTTTCTCTGAACTTATTGCATTTTATTTTAACCATTTTTAATGTTCGGTATCAAGAACTGGAATTGATAGTCAAGGTAAGATCTGACTATAATAAAATGGAACAATTACTTCCTGCAATTTAATAATTTGATACTTATACTTACATAAAATCTAAAATTTATGTTGCCTTTTTTTGCAGCAACATCACCCGCTGAATAAAATTTGTGACAGCGCACTTATATATTAAATTTCATTCTATTATTTTGTGATCCATTATTTTTCTTATTATATTATATCTATTATTTTTTATTCATTTCTGTCAAGATTGTTCTAAGCCTTATTTCTATCTTTGAAGATGCTGTCAGTAAACCTGAGAAGCATTGTATGTCCAGTCACACTTGGCTAATAAAGAATTCTAATCTAATTTCCACTTCTCATTCCGGTCATTTACAAAAATTCATTTGATTTGATGTGGAATTATTGCTGGATACTCTTAAATATGATTTTTAAATCAACTGCTTAATTATTATACAATTAAATCCACAACTAACCAGTTGGCTAATCAAAATATCATGGGGTACTTTTTTCAAATTCTTTATTGAAATAAAGAATACTGAATTACATCTGTGGCATTTCATGTTGTAGCAAGGTTGCTACGTTAGACTTCATGACAAATCCAAGCTGGCTTCTGTAAGCATTTTGAAAACAAGGTAATTACTGGATCAATCATTTTACAATCTGTTGTAGAATCTTCTCAGATACTAGATTGACCTCTAGTTCTCTGGGTCCTTCTTCTTCTCCTTTTTGAAGAGGCCAACATTTATTTTCCTCTGCATTGCATATTACCTGATCTCCAAGATTTTTCAAAGATTATGCAGCAGCATCAACCAGTTCCTTTGGTATCCAAGGATAAAATTCAACTGATACTGGATTAGTTTTCTTATTCAAAAATAGGAATGTTTCTTTTGCTCTCAAACCTCAATCCTGTCACTTTATTCTGTTCTTCACAATTGCTTTTGTAACATCTCCTTGTTGGAGAAGATTTAGTCAAAATAAGAGCTGAGTAGTTTTGCTTTTGTTTCCTTTTACCATTTTTTTCTTTTTATTGTTTAGTTAATACATATTTAAACTCAGTTAGGTATTTTTCATTAAGTCATCCAAGGACGCAGTGGAAATGCTGTCTATGTAGCAATGCACCCATTGGCTCTTAGGTGGCTACGCAAAGTAAGATATGATAGTACCTGAGCAGATTTGCATTTTTAACCTTGAAAAGAGGATGAGGAACGATGCAGAATGTGACGATGTACACTTTGTCTCCTTCCCTTGGAGGCTATGCAAGGTCATCATCCAGAAAGTCTCTCTTGGAAAATAACTCTATGTCCCTATGAAGAATTGTCAGTTACTATAGCTTATTAACAAAGACCTGGAAGCAAGGATTCAATGTAAAACGAAGCAGTCCACCACCATTATTCCTATGGAAATTATAAATGAATCCTTCTCACTAAATTATTAATGGAACTAGATTGTCCAGCTGTAGGACTTTATGGTTATTTTATGGTTAATCTCCTATAGGTAGGCACCCAAAGACAGGTAAAGCAGCTTTAAAAAGAAAAAAAACCCTAAACATCTAGAGTTAGTAGTTTTGCTCCTGCCATGTCTTCAAAAATTGCTTGAATGCCATTTATGTCCATAGTTTCAGTAGTCCAGTAGAGATCCTATCACAAAAACTGTAAAACTTCCATTAGTTTTAATGCATATATTCAAAAACTGTACTGGAGATTCACCAGATTGCTAGTAATATGTGGGGGAGGGAGGAAAGAAAATTGCAGCATGATCGTTACATGAACAAGCAAATAATTTTTTTTCAGTGTAAAAGAAATCACATTGCTGCTTTGGTATGATTTTCATATATTCGTCACCAAGGGAAATATGTTAACATGTTAATTAACAAATGCATAATGAGACACCTTTAAAGGGTTTTTACCCATATAAACAGACTTTAACAACATGCATGAAATTCCACTGGCATCACCATACAAATAATGCATTTAATATATCTCTCAATAAATTGCTATTTTATGCCAGTTCTTTTTATTTTCCCCAGCCACATTTTCACATATAGTTCATTTTCTTTTCCTCAAGGAGAGGGACATCTGTGTGAATTTTCATACAGAGAAATCTCCCTATTGGAAAGTTTCAATTAGAGCTAGCTACACTACCTATTTATCCACTTGGAGAGAGCTGCTAGACACCACTTATTTCTTTGCCAAAGTATTGTTTGCACTGGGCATGTTAATTCCCCTGAAACAGCATTGTGTCTGTGTGTTACAGCCCACAATTCAGCCCAGATCTTGAATAATCTATAACTGATATTAGATCTTTGGCATTAACCCCTCAGATGTGGCTCAGAACAGCTAACTGAGCATGTTTGAAAGGTAACTAAAAGGCTACAGGATGAAACTGGAATAGATAAAAAGGCAGATCATTATGTTTCTTCTCATGTCAGTAGGCATTAGGTGATATCAAATGCATTTTATCATTCCGGGTGGAGAAGACACGGTGCTCTGCCAATGCATAGGTTTGGAGGTGTGAATTTGTTTCTGCATACATTGCATTTTCACAATCACACATTCAGTATGTACATGCTAAGAACTTAACAGATAACCTGGCATTAATTCATAGCTAGCAGAAGGAACCCAGTGTCATGACAATCACCAAACAAGTGTTAGATTAAGAACATAAAAGAAAACAATGATTACAAAGCGGGTTGAGTTGGCAAGATAAAAATAGGAGAGGGAGAGAGAATTTATGGAGGCGCCAATCATCAAATCCATCTCAAACTCATTCATCTCAAGTTCATTCATCCATCCTCACTGCAAGTTCATTTTAACACAAACCATCACCACAAACCATTGAATTAGTGATTTTGTATGCTTAGTATTATGTAGCTATTTAAAATAGGTATCATATGATCTGCAGTACTTGATGAAGTTTCTACCCACAGCTTTGCTGCTCTTCTTTATGTCATTGTGAAGATGTGTTTAGTATCATTATTCTCCCTTTGAAACAATGTGATATCGAGGACACAGAGGTCCCAACATACACTGCGTATCTTCAGCAAAATCCCGATCAGCGATATCAGAGAAGGGGCGTCTCAGCATTTGGCTGTGGTTCGGAGATTTGTCAGCTGATGTTGGGAGATCTATGACAAAAAAAGCAGTGGAGAGTATTGTGGATGTCAGCTCAGCCAAGTTCAGAAATAGCATATCAGCATTCCAGAAGAGACAATAACCATATTTACACCTTAAATCTCAACAGATATCAAGTCAATTACATTATTTAGTACTACCAGTAAGATTAGTATCACTCTGTAAAATATTACATTGCTTATATAACTTTGTTTAGTTTTTTCTAGGATTCTACATTCCCCTTCTTATGTTGGCACTTATTACAAAACATTCTATTAAATCAAATGCTTTTTAAAAGGCACATTTACATTTTACTACCCCTAGAAGTATTGTCAGACCAACTGCTAATCTTCCATTTTAAAAAAGGGTAAACAGCCTAACATGCTTTCGAACCTTCCACTTGGTCATGCTTACCAAGACATATTGACAGGTATGCCAACATAAAATACGGTAGCTGGTTTTAGGAACTTTGCTATGGTTTATACAAGTTACTTAACTAATACAGAGGAGTTATTAGATGTGAAAGTGGAAGCTGCTATTATTCCAAAGAAAATAAAGTGCTTGCAGATATTCATATCCTGTACAAAGTGTTTCCAAACAAAATAGGTGGAAAAGGATATTTAGCCCTATTCTGGTTAAATCTCATTTGTTGCAGCCATTCCTAAAAGGCAGAACTTTGCTTCTGCTTTGGAGAAGAGGAATACTGTTGCAGATCCTTGATAGGACTCACTAATTTAGCCCTTTCCAACTTAGACTCCTCTAGATGGAATCACAACTTCTAGTATTTCTACCAAGGATTACCAGGATACTGGCTTGGAATATGGAGAACTGTATCTCTGTCATATTGAGATTATACCAGTTGGGGAAAGGTGAGCTAGCTGAATAACCCAAATAAAAACAGCACAGCAGCAACTATATAGATTTATACCAAGTTACACAATAGCAGATGGACAAGACTTAAGAATTTGATAATAAAACAGCCAACATTTTCTGCAAGAACATGAACCTGAGATATTTCAAGCACAAAAACGACTATTGTTAACCTTATGACAGCTATTTTGCTACTGACATAGTACATAAAAAATTGTTTACACAAGTTAGTTTGAATAAAACCCAGGGTTATGCGCTGCAAGACATAAATTTGGTTCTTCACTGAATACAAGAAGCAACTAAGGTTGTCTTTGGTGTGTATTAGTTTATGTTTGAGGTGTTCAATTTTTATCCCCCAAAACTAGAAAAAAACTATCCTGCATTTCTACATGTTCCCCAGGTAATAATGAGACACTTCTGCAAAAAATGTTCTCAGTCTCACACACTTTTCAGGAAATACGTTTGTGGCAGCATAAAAGTATGGCCATTACATTCAATCATGGATTAAACTTTGTTTTTTTAATTTTGATCTCTGACATATAGCACATATACATCCTTTCAATTAAAGAATATATTTTGGAAAACATACTTATATACAAGCAACTCTACTTATAAGAGTTTTAAGTTATATGGATTCCTGGCAATTGATGCAATGCTTAATGACAAGGAAGACTGGGGACAAGGGGATGAATAAAGCCTTCTAGGGGAAAAAAATGCTTAAAAGGAGTTGCCAAAAAATACTCAACCAAGTAGCTATTACAGTCAAGTAATGTGCAATTATCAAACCCTGAAAATTAAAAAATAAATCACATTACACTGATGAAAGCCCGCTAAGAACACATGAAGAATATAAAAAGGAACCTGGCCAAACCACTTTTAGTCAATCTGATGTCTTCTATAATTCTTGTAGAAGCGCACTGCTGTTTCTGACCTGCTTTATCCAGAGGAAACAGCATCTGATCTCATCCGTATCTTATTTTTCCAAATTTAATTTTCTGTAATGCTGTATTTTTTTGATAATTATTTTGTTTCACCCAGTAAATTATCCGTGCAAAAAAAAACTACTGTCTGATGGTACTTTCAGTATTACTTCATGTTTTTTATACTCCTGTGTGTTCCCACCATTTTATCACAGAAAGAAAGAAAAACCCACTGGGGGCAGGGGCAAGGCCTACAGAAGGCTTTTTGACAATCAGTGCTATATATTCCCAAACTCAAAGACCCCAGATTCCTATTTGTTTGAATGTTTTTAGCCATCTCCCTTCCAATGCATTCTATCTGGGCAACATTTGCCATGGCCAGAAAAAGTCCTTTAATGCACATTATGGATTCATTCTAATGCTCCTTTAAATCTACCCACGTTTTAGATGAATAAAAACATAACGACATAATCACCTTCGCTTTGGTCAATTTTCATTCCATTGTCCTCCTCCTCCTCATCCCATGTGGCTGAACAATCCACCAGACAGATCTTCTAAATGTCCCTTTTTATCTCTGGGACAAGCTGTGATAGTGAACTCTTTGATAGTATGTTTATATTTTTTCATCTGCCATCTTACTTACATGGATAGGCCTCTATCTTCAGTCTGCATTTCTTTTTATTTGCCAAATGTGCCGTTTCCTGAGACAGCTCTTTTGGGCAGACAGCAGTAACTTCTCAGTAAAATAAGGTCAGGATTGTCCTAAAAATGGTTTCCCTTCACAGCTGAGATGTCTTCTCCCAGTCCTTTGGGTTCTGCAATGGCTTATTTCCCTTATACAGAAAAGTAGTCTATCATAAGGATGTAGACTGATGTCTAAAGCAAGTGTGGTTTGAAAGTTAAAATTCAACTGTGACCTTAACTAACCCTGTTCTACTGGCTTTTGGATCAAGGCTGTAAGCGCAAATAATATCTCTGAACCACAGCAGCAGTTCCTATATTCCTTTTCCTATGTCCTTTACATCACTGAATACAATGAGGCACATCTCTAGGCACATTTCTATCCAAGGGATAAAAGAAACTTCTTGACCCTGGACAGAAACGACCTTTGGTGTTTCCCCCCCCCCAAAAAAAAAGACTGTGCCTGTGATGAGAAGCCTTAAAAAGAGAAAGAGCCCTATATTGCAGAATGAGAGCTGTATGTTTTCCAGGTGTGTGAACAGCAAAGGACTTTATATATCTCATACCTATTCCTCAATGTTTATGGGACAGGATTCCGGAGCTTCAGCTGTTCAGTAAAAAAGAAAGACCAAAAGCAAATGGTAAACCAGAGAAAAGACAGACCACACAAATGCACAGACATACAATGCGGGGGAGGAGGGGGTCAAGAAGAGAGAGGGAAAGAGAATGAAACAACAAAAGCTTCCTGCATTACATTTATTGCCCCCTCCCCCCCGAAGAATTTTTAAAGATCGTTTGCATGATGACTCTGGGCAGTAACATTCCAACTTGGAAATGTGCCAATCAGTGTAAATCCAATCTGCTTTACTGTCCATTTTTCAGGGCACATTTGTGTTCCGATTTTATTTTTAAAAAATACAGAGAAAAAAACAATGGCTATTCCATTTACCCAAAGAGGGCAAGAGATTTAGCCCTATTTTTTGAAAACGTATAAAATGTAGATGGATTCTTGATTTTTTATTTTTTTTTCTACCAGCAAAAATGCTTCTTCTGTGTCTAGGGTGGCTGCTTCTCAGTGCTTCCTTGAATGGCTAGGTGACCTTGTACCTACACAGACACTTGGGTCAATCCAGGAAGTGCTACAAAAGATAAGTAGCATCCACCTTATTGTAAGAGCCTCTTCATACATTTCAAAAACCCTGTTTTCAAAACAGGGACGAAGGACCTAAGATCCAGGGGTAGGGAACCTTGGCTCTTTTATGATTTGTGGATTTCAGCTCCCAGAATTCCTGAGTCAGCATGGCTGGTTCAGGAATTCTGGGCATTGAAGTTCACAAGTCATAAAAGAGCCAAGGTTCCTTACCCCTGCCCTAGACAGTCCATTCCTGCTAATATTGGTAGCACCAAATTTAAATTTGTTTCAGCAGGATTCATGCCTGGATTGTTTTACCTTCCTAAATTTGAAGGAAGTAACTCCACATGAAAGATTCCTAGCTTAGTACTGTAGTCTGGTCTTTGCCATTTCTTTATGTTACTATAAAACATTGTGATCCATTCTGTAGCAAGAATTCACTAGAATGTATGGGATGTGTCATGAAGTCCTATAGGACGGGCCAGACTACTTTCTCTCTAGTTAAGGGCTGAACTGAAATACTGAAACACAGAAGCCATGGGGCCTAAACCTCTGCCTAAGCTTCTCAGCTTTTTAAATTAAATTATCCCAATTTCAACAGAAATGTGCAAACTATCTCACAATAAAAGCACAACTGAAAACATTACCAAGGTTTAAGAAACTAACTTTTTTGCTTTATCCACAAAACCCAGCAAAAATAGAAGCTAGAAACCTAGGTTACTTTTACTTCTTAAATTGGATACAATTTTACACGTATATTAAATTTATGCTATGAAGTAATGTCTAAAGCAGGCATGTCAAACACACAGCACGGGCAGGCCACGCCTATCCCGGCCCCACAAGGGCAAAACAAATCCCAATACATCACGATATAGCCCACGATACGATCGGTTTGATAACCCTGGTCTAGAGTGTCTGTCATTATTATAAAACACAGACTCATTTCAGAAATACAAAAGTAGAAAATACTGTATACCTTAATAAGGTATCATGTGAAAAGGCATCTGAACATGTTACATCTCAGAAAGCAGTGCAAAATCCCACAAGGTTTCCTATACTTCTGGTTGGGAGATAATAACTCAGGAAAGCAAAGTTATTGCTTGAAATGACCCCATAGTTAGTACATGAATACAGCATTCATTCGTCCTTGTTTAATGAAAACTGCCAGATTGGTAACTACTTGTGGCACTAAACCATTTCACTTTCCATAAAAACACTTTGCAAATTGCCATTAAGGATCCTCTTCTTGCTACTTTTTTTATTTAGATAGGCAAAGATGGGAAACTTGAGAATTAAATAGATCTTGTAGACTTCAACATATACAGCAACTTCCATCCACCATCACATATGCTTATGTATTTTGTTCTATAACATGTACACCTGAGACAGAAGTGCTTGTTTTTTTTTCTTCCCATCCATCTTCTTTCTAAGTAGGCCTTATCTCCAACATTCTACTCGGAATGTGGATTAGCAGCACTTACCTGTATCTGCTCTTAAAAAAAAGAAGAGGATCCAGAGACTAAAAAACCCATAGGCCAAGGCGTGAAGTTTACCCAGAAGATGTTAACTGGAATAGGAGATCAAACTTCGGAGTGAAGAAAATGGAGTGTGAGGGAAACTCAAGGACAACTTCAGAACCTCTCCTTTGCCAACAGATCAGCACAACCATCTTCAAACCACGTGCTTACGGGCTTAAAGCCACATGCATCTCTGCACAGCAGATCAGAAAGCCATTCTAAGTTCTGCTTGAGTGTAACTTCTGTGACTCTGAAACAAAGTCCATGTTGTTTCTTGAGCAGCTGTGAAGAAGCAGCATGGCTTTGCTCAAAGATTCACAGCTAGTCAGCAGGCGGCAGGGGGTAGAACATTTGGCTCTGTACACAAACAGTGTACAGAGGGGAAGGGATCAGCAGAAGAATCTTGCAAGCAGCAAAGCTACCCAATGGTATGCAAGCCAGAAAAACTGAAGCCGCTTCTTGTGGCAGCAGAGTCGCTATTAAATTTATTCCACAAGGTCCCAAGGTCCAAGCCTCCCTTTTTGAATCACCACAACTACTTCAGGTGATATTGCAGAAGAAACATTTAAAGTGCCTACAGATACAACCTGGATAATATGAGAGATGGACATGATCCTTATCCGCTACAGTTCCCAAGTTAAGGTCCTATTTCAAGCTCTGACTAAGGTCAACTGTGCAAAGGATTAAGGAAATTCTATTGCATGTTTTTCAGAAAATCCCTCCAATCGCTTTCTCATTTCTAGGGACCTCTGAGGAAAGAAAGGATCAGTAATATTTGATGGAAACATGAATCCAGTATATTTAGTTGGTCACACACAAAGCAAAGAGTGTGGGAAAATAAATAAAAAGTCGATGCCCATCAGGTCACTTCTCCTGATAATCCCACTGTCTCAGGGAATACTCAGAGACCCATGTTTGGCATTTCTGATTATTGTCAGGGATCTTCTTTGGCTTTTGGGGGGGGAGGGGGGGGGAAAGCCCTGACATTCAGTGTTAGGAATATGTATCTACAATTGTAGGTTGAAGTAATTAAATAATTAGATGAGAATTTTTCTTTAAATTTTTGACAAAGATAGGATTGTCTCAAATGCTATTTGGAAGGTTTGTTCATATTCCAGAATTCTCTTTTCCTCCAGCTGAAAGCACAATTGCTTTTTTAATCAGTTTGCTCAAAACAAAGAGCTGTTGCTCTCCATCCTTATTTGTTCAATGTACTGGTTGTCCAGCTTTCCATGGATCCAGTGCCATATTTTGTGAAATAAGACATGAGCTTACTGATCACTGTTTTTCACCCCTTCTTTTGTAGATCATGGTTAAATATTTTAAATTTTATTTCAGAGGAGTTATCTAATGTGTCTAGTATGTACAGTAGTTCTCATCTTGGGAAGCTAAAATCAAGAGGATTTAATCTGGTGATCTTATTGAATAAAACAGAAAAGAAGCACAAAATAAGATGCACTTTTCCCTCTAGCGTCCAGATTTCTTTTGGCCTCTTCAAGATCTTTAGAAAACTGTAATAAGCATTTTTTTTCATCTGTTTTCCAGTAAATTTGGTTTGGAAATAGTCTTTGAAAAGCCAAGTACTTTACTACTGATAATTAATAGCTGATATTAATCTGCTCAGCTATCTGTGCAACTCAAGCAGGATTACAACCAGTTTAAAAGATTACAACTGGAAGGGTCATAATGTCATCTTAAATTGTATTTACCATGACATTTGGTTAGAATTTACCCAGTTCTGAACTTTTACATGTTTGTGTGTGTGTGTGAGTGAGTGAGTGTGAATGAATGTGTGTGTGTGTGTGTGTGTGTGTGAGTGTGTGGCTATGTATGCAGGTATGTAATTAATATATCTATAGCGGTAATATTCCAAAGAACATCTTTTTTTCATCTTGAAACTGAAATGACCTAGCATGCCTGTGTTTAAATGATTCCTGCTCTTGTTGCAGGTCAGCTTATCAGCTGGCACATATGTAGTTGGCACAGCAAAGCCTGGATTACCCACAAAGTTTCCCAAATGGAATAAATTAGTAAGAGAGACAAGATGACAATAGGAGAAGAGATTTAGCTTGCTCGTAGCTATGTAAGGAAATCAAGGATGAAGAAAGCACTCCTTTCAACCGCATTGAATTATTATACCAACCATGAAAGAGGCAGCCTTGAAACTTTGGGGAAGGTGAAATAAGCAAGGAATAGGTTACCATGGTTTTTGAAATGATGGCACTTTTACTGACCTGGTTGAAAGGGTCTGGTGCACCTCTGTTTTAAAAATGCGAGGTACACACCAAAGAAAGTGAGGTATATTTATCTAATTGAAATCTAAGGAAGTTACAAATGCAAAATTGGGCAGTGTTAAAAACCAAAAATGTTTTTTTAAAAAAGAAAAAAAAATCTAACCAGCCCTTGACAGTGGTGTTGTTAATTTGCACATCAATTCAATCCACATTTCAGTTTCCTTCAGACCCATAAAAGGACAGTCAGTAAAGTTTATAATCATTCAACAACATAGAGAAAATGAAGAGATGAGAGCATGGACTAAGGAAAACAAAAACAGGTACTGTGTTGGCACAGAGCGAACATGAACTTTCACACTGATGAAATCCAGTGAGGGGAGGGGGAGAAAAATCAATGAAAGAGCAAAGAGAAGAAACAAAACATACCCAGAATTAGTAGCCAACTAAAAGTTGGGATTGTGATATTTGGGCGTCAACAAAGGATACCAAATATGTTTTTGCGGAAAATATACTCATGCTTGGTCATTATCTGTCATTATTGGGTTTCCTATGTGTAAGGATAAAAAGAAATCTAGGGACTTCTAGACAGACATAAAATAAGCTGGGGAGGTGGCAATAATCAGTTCTTATTATGCTAGGAAATTAAGAATTGGTCATTTCACTGACTGAATGAAATAGATACTATCAAATGGATTTCCCTTATCTTCAGATGTGTTCATCAACCCTAGCTGGCATGGTTATGGCCTGGGAATTACAGGATCTGAAATTACTTCCAAAGGATTCCAGGATGGGAAACTAAACTAGATCTTCTAGAACAGGGGTCTTCAAACTTGGCCCTTTTATGACTTGTGGACTTCAATTCCCAGAATTCCTCAGCCAGGCATGCTGGCTGAGGAATTCTGGGAGTTGAAGTCCACAAGTCATAAAAGGGCCAAGTTTGAAGACCCCTGTTCTAGAATAAGAACCCAAGAAGTTCCTTTTCTACCTATTGGAACTATCTGCCTGTAGAAGACTTTTATTTCTATAGGCTAGAAATTCCTAGATGTTGCTTCTTATACTTTAACCTTTAGCCTTTAACACTGTTGGGAAGAATCTTGACTTTGATCAGGTTTGGGCTCAGATCTAACTACCCAACCTATCTCTTATAGCAAATGAGTGTAATCATCTTCAAGCGACACACTTAAATTGCTTCCAAATTTGTGGCTTCCCTCCAAAGTACTCTGAAAATTGTAGCTGTGTGAAAGTGCCAGGTAAACTGAGACTGAGTAGATTATAGCCCAATCCAAAACCAGTTGTGCTACTAGTATTATCCTTTTTATTTTCTTGGATTTAAAAAGTTTAAGAGAGAAGAATGATTGTGAAAAGAGTGAGGAGGGGAAAAAGCAGGGCAAGGAGAGAAGAAATGTAGGAAGGCAAATAGCAGGAAGTAAAAAAAAGGATACCACAAATGATGCACTTTAGGTTAAACACAGTCTGCAAAGATTAGAGACTGAAGGGTTAAGGTAATCTAAGCAGTTTCCTAGAAGGTACTGAAACTGCAGTTACCAGCATTCATTGAAGAAAACCACCTTAGAAATTTGCTTTATATTTAGGAAATCTGACCTTTATCTCTATGATCTAGTGTGACTTAGGTTGAGGTGGGCAGGGGAGGGAGACAAGAGAGAGCGGTTTTAAATATCAGGAAGATGCCACACAAAAATAGCATTCTCCTTCCTATCCATTTCCCTAACCTGTATAACTCTAATAAGTATGTACTGTGATTAATGGCTGACAGCTCTCAGGTGGTGGCGGGATTTAAAGCAGAGGAGGGATATATAAAAAACTGTCCTCCCACCTCCCTTCAAAGTTCATGTTCAGCAGACAGCCACTCACCAGGTAAGCGGGCCTCAGAGCACACCTTATTGTCCAGAACTTTCACGCTTGCGTTGCCAATGTCATTGTTATTGTCACACTCCATACCTAGGTATGCGCCTGTCCTTTGGCCTGCAAAGGAGTTAATGCAGTTAGAGAGGGGGTGAGGCTTTGGTTTAATTCTGCTCCTCTTTAAGGTAGCAGAAAACATCACACACTTCAGAAATGAAGAAAACCTCAACAGTGGCCAAAAAGGTAGAACAGCCTTCTCCAACCTGCTACCTCCAGGTCTGTTGACATTTCAAATCCCCAAATTCCCAATTACAGTCTCCACTAGTTGGGAATTCTGAGGACTGAAGTCTCTACATATCTGGAAGACCTCAGGTCAAGGGGGACTAAGGTAGAGAGTGGACAATAAGAGATGGGGATGCAGCGGCCAAAAGCTATTGTGGCTGGTTTCCTCCACCACCTCCATTTTCACTTCCTGTTTCAAGGCTATCCTTGCCAATATGGAAATATAAATGGCACGTAGGAAGAGATTTGATCTTGTATATAAAGGTATCAAATAAACCAGTCATAGCGCCATAGAGAAAGTTCAAGGAAAGCACTTATTTTATGGTTTAAGTTGTCTCTGGCTGGCATCTATGGAATATTCTCAACAATCAAAACACAGCAGAACCTTGATTTGGTTGTGACAAGAAGGTAGAGCCAGATAGGATACAATCCTTTCCCTAGATAGTCTAGGAAGCTTTGCTCAATGGGCTCTGAGAAATCACACAACTTCTCCAAAGCTATGGGTTTCATTATTCTGGGCAAGATGCCAAGAGAAAAAAAAGAAAAATCATGATAAGGGTTTATTTTGTGTACATCAGTCTGCTGTTGCAAGGTTTGGACAAATTTTAAAAATAAAACAAAATCTATATTTAAAAAATAAAAGGGGGAATTCCCATTTGTATAGTGCCCAATAATATTCATCAATGTGAAGCATTTCTGACTTTGCTGACAATGAACAATTATTTAATCAACCATAGCATTTATTTTAATAAAAAATTGAGATAATCAAAAAGTGTTTCTTGTTAATATTCAGATCTAATTTAGACTGCAGAATGAAATCAAAGCTGAAACATGCAGAGGGCATTGCCTCAAAAGAAAACATAAAATTATTTTTAATAATATTAACAGCAACAATAACTTTCCCAATTTTTAGACAGCCTCAAGAAAATCTGAGAATTTAGCCATTTAATTTCAAAAGAGCGAGCTGAGACTTTGTAACACCTTCAGTTTGCTCCCTCGAAAAGGGAAACTGACCACATCCCTAAATTTTAACTATGGAATACATGAAATCATTCAATGTCAAGAGAACATAAATATGTTAAAATATCAAACTCCATGGTTTCCCAGGGGACAAACTGCCTTTTTAATTTTTTTTGGGGGGGTGGAATGTAGGGAATGAAAGTTACTGTGAAAGAATAAATATTAAAATCAGTAATATGTTTCAGGATTACAGGTTTTCATTTTAATAGAATGTCTTGCCAGCCAGATACAAAACTTTTTAACTCAAGTGGACATATAGTCAGAATTGCAGAGCTCTGAGCATTATGTTCAGGAATCTGGAACTTGGTTCTACAACTAATAAAGGTCCTGTCAGCCAAAACACAACAAAAACCTAGTTTTGATTCCTCTCCAAATATCTTTTTCAGCAATGAAATGTTGAATGGGGATATTATTCCAACCCTTGTAACTCTCAGACAATTGGGAGTAAAAAATGATTTGCTGACCTACTGCCTACTAGTTGTTTAACTTCTGCCCATTTTTCCTGAAAATAAACAAGGAAAACTGGCAGATCTCTTTAAACTTTTCATGTTTTCAAATGCCTTCTACCTGCTCATTTAAGAAAGGCCTGATGCTTCAAACTATAGCAATTCAGTTAGCAATACTGAGCTTGCCCCAAGCCAATGTGCCTCAGCCCTGTTCTTTCCTTGCTCATGATGAACCCTGCCTGTGCTAGATGTGAAAGAGAACCAACATGGGGTATGAAGCAATGCTGTATTCTGTGTTACCATCTTCCTGTGTGGGAGAGGCATCCTCTTCTTCCATGACATCATTCCCCTGCCGAAAAAGATAAGGTGTGAATATACAAATCAATGACTCACCATGTAGTAAGAATGATATTAATATTCCCACAGCATTCCGTCCTCCGAAGATGATTGGGGAAGCTATAACTTGGCTAATCTTTTTGCAAGTGCTTCCTTTAAAAAGCATATAGAACTGACATTTTCTGAGTTGTATTTACAATTCCAAATTATAAAATTTGGAATCACAAGGTCTGAATGCTGGCCTGTAGATCAGGGGTGTTAAACTCGCAACGTCATGTGACGTGTCGCGACGTGTCACGACTTTTTTGCCATTGCTGGCAATGGGGTCGGCGCAGTTTTGCTATGATGCATCCGGCCCGCGGGCCAGCAGTTTGACACCCATGCTGTAGATAGTAATTTTTTTTGGCACAAAGCACACAATATAAACTTTTAGAAGTGTGTTGCAGTAATTTAGACTAGGCCAAAAAGAACAGTTACAATAAAAGACCCACACACAAGAAAATCTCTTGCTTCCTTGAATGAATAAAATATAAAAATAATAAATAGTAAAAAGAAAACAAAAAAACAAAAAAACTCAAAGGGCAGATTTGATGGACCACTAGGTCTTTTTCTGCCATCAGTTTTCTATGTTTCTATAATAGGCTCAGCTAATCATTCTAGCCACAGTAATCCAGTTTAAGTATATTGAGTTTTTCCAAACTAGCTTGTTTGCTTGCCTGCCTGCTTGCTTCCTAATTTACCCTACCCAATTTATACGGCTGCCCATCCTACAACTCTGAGCAGCATACAAAAATTAAAAACTAGATCTAACTACTACTCCACACTCATCGCGTCATCAGATAACCGCCTGGCCGCCCTCTTCAGGGTGACCCGCTCTCTCCTCCAGTTGAGGGAGGGAGGGGATCCCCTGGAGGGGAGGGCCGAGGACTTTGCGCAATATCTGTATGACAAAGTCGCTCGGATCCGAGAAGGCCTTGACTCTGACTGGGTGGCCCCGGGGGAGGAGACGGGAGGTCTTGAGACTGTTGTATGGGAGGAGTTTGACTCTGTGGCTCCCGAGGACGTGGACAGGATCCTGGGGAGGCTGAATGCAACCACATGTTTACTGGATCCGTGCCCCTCCTGGCTGGTACTGGTGGCTCGGGAGGGTACACGAGCCTGGCTCCAGGGAATTATAAACGCTTCTTTGCGGGAGGGTGCCTTCCCCGCGGCCTTAAAGGAGGCGGTGGTGAGGCCCCTCCTTAAGAAGCCCTCCCTGGACCCAGATGTATTGGGTAACTATCGCCCGGTCTCCAACCTTCGCTTTGTGGCGAAGGTTGTTGAGAGTGTGGTTGCGCAGCAATTCCCTCGGCACCTGGAGGAAACAGTCTATCTGGACCCGCTCCAGTCGGGCTTCAGGCCGGGATACAGCACAGAAACGGCATTGGTCACGCTGGTAAATGATCTCTGGAGGGCCCGGGACAGGGGTCATTCCTCTGTCCTTGTTCTTTTGGACCTCTCAGCGGCTTTTGATACCATGGACCACGGTATCATGCTGCGACGCTTGGGTGAGTTAGGAGTGGGAGGCACTGTTATGTGGTGGTTCTCCTCCTTCCTCACCGACCGTACGCAGTCTGTATTGGCAGGGGGACAGAGGTCGACCCCAAGGCCCCTAACTTGTGGGGTCCCACAAGGGTCGGTCCTCTCTCCCCTTTTGTTCAATATTTATGTGAAGCCGCTGGGGGAGATCATTCGCGGCTTTG